TGGAGCTGGTTTGCTCCCTCACTCGCTCGGTCAGGTGTGTTATCCTTATCGGCTAGGCGACAGCAACACAGTGAGTGAGTGAGTCTCTGTTGCTCTTGGGCCGTTCGCGGCAATGCAACCTTGTGTCACGCAGGGACAAGTGGGGACCTTCCCCTGGACGAGCGAGACATCAAGCAATATGATTGGCTGAGAGTGACGTGGATGAATCTGACGCACTGGGAGCTCCCCCGTAGTTCTGTATCTTCTCCAATGGTAAGCTGGTACGTACTGTGATTGTGGACCTGTGCGACCAAGAAGGCGGTCGCCTTGTACCTAGGTAGGCGTACGGATATTCGTACCTCATCGGCCAGAACCTCTCCTTCCTGACATCATTTCCCTCCCTCACACACATGTGTGTGGACAACTGACGTCGCCGTCTCAAACAGTTCTAGACCTTCATCCCCGGCATCGATTGATTCTACACTATATAACTACACCAGAACCGGCAAAAGGCTGGGGCTGGGCCCGCCGAGACGATCAATCAACTGAAACAACTCTTTATTCGGCATGCGATGAAACCAGACACCGTCTGACATGCACTACACGCCGACTCCGGTTCTGCAAACCGACGCGATGAGGTCTTGCTCTATATCGTCAACAGCCAGGAGATTCAAGCCTCGCCCTGTCCCAACAAGCCTCGGCCGCATGGAGTCGCGAATGATGCATCTAGCTGAGGCTTGACCTCCGATAGCCACCCCACCACATGCCGTCCGTGTCTGACCAGCCACAAGCCAGGTCCCACCCATCATTGTCTCCAGGTCCGGCTGCTCTTCAGGTCCGGCTGCTCTTCAGCCTTCCTGCCCGAGGACGCCTTTGACCCAAAGCAGAAGGCAGCTCGAGGTCCAAGGATCCTGTCGTCTGTGATATAGCACCGCTAAGCTGACATAAGCTAACAGGGTGTGACCTGGCAAGCATTGCTGTACGCCAACCACATTCGGGTTGCTACCTACCTACGGCTTCTCCATGTGACCCATCGGCGATTTTACCACTATGGTCCGACCTTGCGGACGACTTTACCGGATTGCGTATGTTTGACCCCCAGGGCCTCGGGCAAGAACAAGTTTCGGTATTTGCCGTATGACAGCCCGATGACCACCGATGCCGTCTGTGAGGGATCGTTGGGGGCATCCCTGAATTCCACAGAGGAAACGATCCCTTTCCGCAATGGTTTTGCTATGGGAGGAGCTACTGCGACGATGCGCCGCGATGATAACAAGCCGCATGTTGAGATGAAAGACACCAGATGGCGCGACATGAATCTTGTCGTGTATCAATCAAAGGACTCTGTTCTAGATATAGCACCCGTCATGGCTGATACGACTGATATTGGACGAAACTAATGCCGAGTCATCTCTTACCTATTCCCCAAACTCACGTCCGAAATAATCAACTGATATTCGACCGCCCATTGCAACTGACTGGTGAGCCACCCCGAATGTGACCTTGACTCGTGCCATTAAAGGCGCAAACAAATAAACAATAGGGCGCATCATAACTGACAATCCAACCTCGGCCAAAGACCACCGATCTCATTGCCGAACACTTCTCCCGTCTTGGGGCCTGACCACCCAACCGCAGGACTTGAGCCCTGTCCAATATTGCGAATTTCCCCGCACTCTCCCACATGCCGGCACAACATCCACGTTGTTTCTGTCAGTCGACATGCAACAATTTCCGACCAACCCACTCAACCACCCCTGTTTGACTTTGTTTCCCCACGATTTCCCCGCGATAATACCGCCGACGAGCCGCCAGCCTGGTCGACCAGACGAACATTCACGAATCACGACAAGACCATCGACGAACCGCCCTTGCTCGATGATGACCAATCCCCTCCCCCGCCATCGGGATGCGACGTACTGCATGGGCTCCCCATCGCCTACAACTGACTAGCGTGCCCAAACCGTCGGCGTTGCGTCCTCGATGATCTCACTTTTGTGCCCTTTCGCAGTATGCGATGGGTTCCCGCGGTGGGCCGCTGTAATGTCCGTGGTCATGGGAACATCAAAATAGAGAATGGCGTGGAATGGATGCGCCGTTACGTGCGGTGTTCGGGATGTTTGCTCGGCCGTCGACATATTTGTTTCCGAGGCACGTTGAGGGCTGAGAGTGGGAAATATGCTTAAATAACCTTTTCTCTGGCCCTCCACAGATGATGGATGGCAGGCACACATGCTCATTCTCTTCTTCGAGCCCTGAAAAGATGGTCAAGACGTTGATCTCCACGCTGGCTACGGCCCTCGCAGGCCTCACGCTCTGCGCCGCTCAGGCCAATGAGACCGACCCCTATTATGGCCAGAGCCCTCCAGTCTATCCGACTCGTCAGTTTCTCTCTCCGTCCTCGGCTCTCTTGTTGTCTTTCTTGGAACATCTGTGGAGGTAGACTAACACGCCTGCAGCCGTCGGCAATGGAACCTCCAACGAAGCGTGGGCCTCGGCCTATCAACGCGCAAAGTCACTCGCCGCCCAAATGACCGTCGAGGAGCTGGCCAACTTTACCCACGGCTGGCCGGGTCTCTGCACAGGCAACACCGGCTCCGTGCCCCGTCTCGGCGTCCAGCCTCTCTGTCTTCAAGACGGACCCGACGGCGTTCGCAGCCAGGAGTTTGTCTCCGCCTTCCCCGCGGGCATACACCTTGGCGCCACGTGGGATCGCAATCTTTCTCATGCCTACGGGCTGGCTCTTGGCGCCGAGTATCGCGGCAAGGGCATCAACGTCGCCCTCGGCCCCGTCGGCGGCCCCCTGGGACGCATCGCACGAGGCGGGCGCAACTGGGAAGGGCTCTCAAACGACCCTTACCTCTCGTCTGTTGGAGTTGGCGGCGTCACCAAGGGTATGCAGGATGCCGGCACCATCGCCTGTGCAAAGCATTGGCTGCTCAACGAGCAGGAGTACCGCCGCATTCCCAGCACGGAGGGAGAAGCAGCCAGCTCAAATCTGTTCGATGATAGAGCCCTTCACGAACTATATGTCTTCCCCTTTATGGACGCTATCCACAATGGTGCTGCCTCGGTCATGTGCAGTTACAACAGAGCGAATAACTCGTATGCTTGCCAAAACTCGAAGCTGCTAAACGGGGTTCTGAAGACAGAACTTGGCTTTGAAGGCTTCGTAGTTAGTGATTGTAAGTTGCTCTGCCGTCTACTCTTTCGATGCCGTGAGTATTAACGTCGACGCAGGGTACGCTCAAAACTCGGGTGTTGCGTCCGCAAACGCCGGCCTCGACCTAGTCATGCCCAGCGTGCACTACTGGGGTCCCGCTCTGGCCGAGGCCGTCAACAACGGCAGCGTCACCCGCGAGCGGCTCGAAGACATGACCACCCGCATCCTGGCCGCGTGGTACTACATCGGCCAGGACGGCGACGACTATCCCGCTCCGGGCGTCTACTCCAACGCTCAGAAGCACGCGCCCGTCGACGTGCAGAACGGCCACAAGGCCATCATTCGCGAGATTGGGGCTGCCGGAACCGTGCTCGTCAAGAACGTCAACGGTACACTGCCGCTCAAGAACCCCAAGTTTCTCACCGTTTTCGGGTACGATGCCACAGTCCCCGCCACGCCGTGGGCCGATCCCAGCTACGGCCCTAGCTTTGGGTCCACGCTAGGGAACACGTTTAACGGTACCCTCATTTCTGGTGGCGGCTCCGGGACCACGACCCCTCCGTATGTGATCAGCCCCTTCCAGGCTATCCAGGAGCGTGTTATCGCAGACGGTGGCGTGGTCAAGTGGGACTTCTACTCGGAGAACCCGCAGCCCGTCTACGTCAACTCCGAGGCGTGCCTGGTGTTCATCAACGCGTGGTCTTCAGAAGGGTACGACCGCACCAGTCTGTTGGACCAGTTCAGCGACAACTTGGTCAACAATGTCGCCGCGAACTGCTCCAACACCATCGTCGTGCTGCACTCTGCCGGTATGTACCCCTCCAGCCCGTGACCATAGCGAACAGACAACTGACATCACACAGGGACGCGAGTAGTCGACGCCTGGGCCGACCACCCCAACGTGACGGCGATCCTCTTTGCCGGGCTTCCCGGGCAGGAATCTGGCCACTCCCTCACCGACATTCTCTACGGCGATGTCAACCCCAGCGGTAGACTCCCCTACACCGTCGCGCACGCCGAGTCCGACTACGGCGCTCTCCTCAACTCTAGCGTCGACCCGGGCCCGTTCCCGCAGGACGACTTCTCCGAGGGTCTGTTCATCGACTACCGCGCCTTCGACCGCGACGGCATCGCGCCGCGGTACGAGTTTGGCTTCGGTCTGTCTTACACCACGTTCGAGTACGCCTCGCTCTCGGTGTCACCTGTGGGCAAGCCAGCGGCCGGGCTTCCTGACCCTTCCGTGGCGATAGTGCAGGGCGGGCACCCGGCGCTGTGGGAGGATACCTACGCCGTCTCGGCGCAGATAAAGAACACGGGCGGCCTGGCGGGCCACGAGGTCGCGCAGCTGTACGTCGGCATCCCCGTCGAGGGCACCCCGGCGAGGCAGCTGAGGGGTTTCGAGAGAGTGTACGTTGAGGCGGGCGAGAGTACGACAGTGGAGTTCCGGCTGACAAGGCGGGACCTGAGCGTGTGGGACGTAGTCGCGCAGCAGTGGCGGCTTCCGGAAGGGGAGTACGAGGTGTTTGTGGGAGCAAGCAGTCGGGATTTGAGGCTCAATGGCACGTTTACGATCTAATGAAATGTGATAATGATGGCCAGGTGGGGGGGCGTATGTCTCTGGCACATATAATCGACTTAATAGCAAATGGAGGCAAGTTATAGGCGCATATTGAGTCAAGAGCTGTTGTCAGTTCCAATATAGTAGACTATTACGTGGCATATACAGCGGAAACAGATAATGCCAAGGCAATGCATGTAACAAGCCTACCAGGCTGCTCTCACCGAGGAGTCTAGTCATTTCGTATAGTCATAGGAGCTCGCTCCATTGTCCAAAAATGTCAAAAGATGTGCGCAAGTATGCATCTGTCGAGACTCGAACTCGAGTCCCCAGCTATCGTTCACTTAGGAAATGGAAGGCTGGGATGATAACCCCTACACTACAGATGCAGATGCCTGGCGAAGGGGGAACCGCCGGGGAGATGCTGCGGAACCGGTCTGTGGATGATTATGTTGTGGGTTTAGGGCTGGCTGACTGCGTCCTCGCTTCCGCGCCGGGTTGAGTGGAGTTGTTGTTCAGACTGGAGGACTTTTCCACTTCACGACGGGGTCAGACGATATGGGGGGGGGGGCCTTGCCCGAAAGTGGGACAGACAGACAGCACCTCGTTTCAACGAGCCATCAAAGTCGGGCTCGACCTTACCCTGGTCATGACTTAACGGTAGGCTAATGGTTGTTAAAGACGGCCAACACGAGTGCGACTGCAACTGCCCTGAGCCAGAGCCGAGAAAATGGACGCTGGCCGACAACATCCTGGTGCAATACGCGTTGAAAAAAAACCCCTCTTTGAGCAGTTTCGTCCGGGCCGGCTAACCACCTTGGGCAACCACATCGTTTGCCGACCTCGTGTTACCGCTCAAAGACAGGCAGTCCTCGATGTAATTACCAAACCCACCCAGCCTGTGCTGTTTGGTCGACCAGCAAACGCTGGAAATCCTTCCAGAAGCGCGGGGGCGATTCTCACATAGGCTGGGGGGGGGGGGGGGGGGGGGGGGGGGGGGGGGGGGGGGGGGGGGGGGGGGGGGGCTGCTGGTCCGGAGCGTCGACGTTGGCAGATGGGACTGGAGGGGGAACTTGTATGGCGCGGGAGCCGCTTCGCAAAAGTAGCTTTCGGCGGCCATGTTTGGGATCTCTGTTGATTGTCCGAGAGCAGTCGGTTCGAACGTTGACCATTTTTAAACCATAAGGTCTATATGTCGAAGCACCTCGTCTAGCACGCAGGGGTTGTGCGATGGCGATAATCGTGACGATTGAGTTTTCGGCGCCACCTAGGACTGAATACTAGATGATGGCAGCTTTTTTCTTTTATGTCTTCCCTTTTTTCGTGCGACAGATTAGGTGGAGGTTAGATAGCCTTCCCGACATGCTATTACTTCTTTAATGAGTGAGGACAAGAGTCAAACCGATCGATTACGTGCTTCCGAACTGCACACACCCGCGTTTTATCCTCTCTTCAGCACTCTTCAATGGTATGGGAGTGACCACTCCGTGGAAAACTTCAGCAATGAACCCAGAATCCCCCGTTGGAGTCCTTCGGGTTTCGCGCCGGGACAAAAACAATGCCTGCCGCTAAGGCGCAGCGTTGCGTCGCATTCGCCCAACGCGGCGCAGAAAGACGGGCACTAGGACGAAGCTAGCGGGCCGCCAGCTGCGTAAGAGGGTGTGCGGAACGTCTCGACGCATGGCTGGACACAGCTCTTCTGCGTCGATCATCATCGCAGCTGCCCGGGCTGGCCTAGCTAGGGCTCATGGAAACCCACCCACGGCTATTCAGATTGAATTGTTGACATTGGATATGTGGCACGGTCAGCCCTCTCTATGTGCCGACGAGCTATTCCGTCCGGTCTGCTTAGCTACAGACGCTAGTAAACTTCAGATGTGTAAACGGGGAGCGCTTGGACGACGACTGTTGGAAAGGAGCGAGGTCACGAAGTTGAACGTGGTTTCCTGCGATTGGGGGCGTTGTTTTTTGTGGCAGATGCTCCGCGGTCTATGTCTCTCGGTATGAGTAGAGTTTGAAAGTTGACACAGACTTACAAACGGTATTTCAATCCAATGCCGTTTAAGCCACGACCAATGCTGCTTTCGTCTCATCGCTACTCAGGACTCCATAAGATCAAGGGGCAACAGCTGTACACGTCCTCTGCCTCTCGACTACCAACTCAATGTTATGATTGGTTACTCTATACGTGATAAGCTCCCGAACTGTTGAATCAGCCACGCACTTGGAATGGCTATGGTGCCGTTATGGTGCCATTTATTAGGCACTAACGGGTCTTGAAATGCTCGACCAGACTTGGAAAGTGCCAGCAAGTGTCTTGGCGGGCTGGGCCAGCAAGCCCGTGGCCCAAAAGCCCCCCGAGACAAAGCCGGGGCTACTCGATGGAATGCACCCGACATACGCTGATCATGGGAGCAGAGACAATGCCGCAAAGCGTACATCGATCAAGAAGAAACATGTCGTCATGCCGAGTTGCTGGAGACTGCCTGCTGTCCAGACACGAGCTAAGGGAGATCGTCACCACGTGCACCCGTATCGTCGATCGTGGCTTATAAGTCCTGGGGCTTCGTCTCTCCTCCATGGGCGCATCGGGTAAGACTTGGACAACTTTTATTACGACTACGTGTCGATACTAACTGGGTCAAACACGAAAGGCACCAGTCAGCACCATGAGGTTCACACGAGTGCCGGGCCTGTTGGCCGTATCTGTGTCGCTCATTGCAGCCGTCGAGCTCACCGGATACGAGTTCATTGTCGTCGGCTCCGGCGCCGGAGGCGGCGTCTTGGCCGCTCGCCTTGCCCTTGCCGGCCGCAGAACCCTCCTCATCGAAGCCGGCGACGACCAGGGCGCCAACGAGAACTACACCGTCCCCGCCTACCAGGCAAAGTCCACCGAAGATGACTCCATGGCCTGGGACTTTTTCGTCCGCCACTACGCCGACGAAGCGAGGCAGGCCCGAGACTTCAAGACGTCTTACGAGACTCCCGGCGGCGGCGAGTACACCGGCCTCCGGCCGCCCCCGGGCTCCAAGATGAAGGGGACGCTGTATCCGCGTTCCGCGACTCTCGGGGGGTGTACTGCTCACAACGCACTGATTGCGGTGTACCCCCACCGTTCCGACTTTGACTACATCGCCCGCCTCACCGGAGACCAGTCTTGGTCGGCTGACAACATGCGCAGCTACTTTGTCCGCATGGAGAACAACCGATACCTGTCGTTGCCCCTGGACGGAGGCCACGGCTACAACGGCTGGTTGAGCACCGAGACGGCACCGCTGAACATCGCCCTGCTAGACCCTCAGCTGCTCAGCCTGGTGACCGGGGGCGCCTTCGCTCTCGGGAACCAGACGAACCTGGTCTTCAACCTCGCCACCCTCCTCGCCGGCGACGCCAACAGCGCGGCCGCCGACCGCGACACGCGGCCGTCGTACCACCAGATCCCCATCTCGAGCGACGACGCCCGCCGCGTCGGCTCGCGGGAGCTCGTCGTCGCCGTCCGCGACGCCAAGAACCCCGACGGCAGCAAGCGGCACCCCCTCGACGTCCGCGTGAACTGCCACGTCACGAGGGTCCTCTTTGACGGGGGGTCGTCCCCGCCCAGGGCCACGGGCGTCGAGTTCCTCGACGGCAGGCACCTCTACCGCGCGAGCCCCCGCTCGCGCGACGCCGGCCCCGGCGTCCGCGGTACCGCCGCCGCGTCCCGCGAGGTCATCGTCGCCGGCGGCGCGTACAACTCGCCCCAGCTGCTGAAGCTGAGCGGCGTCGGCCCGGCCGCCGAGCTGCGCCGCTTCGGCGTCCCCGTCGTGAGGGACCTGCCGGGCGTGGGCGCGAACCTGCAGGACCACTACGAGGTCACCGTCCAGGGCCGCACGCCGGCCAATTTCAGCGCGCTCGCCGGGTGCACGTTCGGGTTCCACGGCCGGAGCGACCCTTGTCTGGAGCGGTGGCGCACCCCCGTCCTCGGAGACCGGGGGATCTACGAGTCGTCGGGCTTCGCGTCGGCCATGTTCTACAAGAGCACCGTCGCCGAGAGGGACGAGTGGGACGTGTTCGCCTTCGGGGGCCCGGTCAACTTCAGGGGGTACTTCCCCGGCTACAGCGTCAACGCCACCATCGACCATGACTGGTTCAGCTGGGCGATCCTGAAGCCGCACCCCCGCAACACGGCGGGGTCCGTGACGCTCCGCTCGTCCGACCCCCTGGACGTCCCCGACATCGTCTACAACTACTTCGACACCGGGTCGGGGGACTACGACGCCGACCTGCAAGCACTGGCCGAGGCCGTCGGGCTCGCCCGCGACGCCTTCGCCCGCCAGCTGGTGCCGATCAGGGAGGAGCTGCCCGGCGCCGGCGTCGGGGGCGACGCCGCCGTGAAGCAGTACATCAAAGACACGGCCTGGGGCCACCACGCGTCGTCCACCTGCCCGATCGGCGCCGACGACGACCCGATGGCGGTGTTGGATTCGAGCTTTAGGGTGCGTGGCGTGTCGGGGCTGAGAGTCGTCGACGCCTCCGTCTATCCCCGGATTCCCGGCACGTTCACTGCCGTATCGACATATATGGTGGGTGAAAAGGCTGCCGATGTGATATTGAGCCAGAATAAATGAACAGGTCCCGGGTGAGTGCGGACTGTTGGTACATAAGCGCGTCGATTTGCGAATAAATCATGGTAATTACGTTGGAATACTAGGTGGCAGCTGTCCGTAATAGACGGAAGACCGACATCGGGTTCCAGCTCCTGATTAAAACTATTATGCTTCCCTCCCCCATCAATTCTTCTGTTCATCGGGGGACACGAAGCTTTTCGGTACCACCTGCTCAGTGTCATTACATCCATCCCTCGTTGATCTTCCCGTGCTGAGGTTCTCCTCGCTGCTATTCTTGGTCATCTTTTTGTTCTTACTCGACGTTTTCAACGAAAACGCCATGCTCGTCCTCCTCCTACGAGAGCTTTCGCTCTGTTTCTTTTGGCAGACGGCGGTCCCGCAACATGTGCAGGGAAAGTAGGTCATGTCGTAGACGTCCTTGTGGATCGCGGTTGGTGACCTGCTTTCTGCGTTGTCCAAGGCGGCGAAAGCGGAGGGTCGCCTGGGCATGTCTTCAGTGCCGCGGATCGGGTATGATTTAGTCGACCAGCCCAGCCTGTGCCCGATGATCTTTAACAGTGGCCTGAGGGTCGCTAAACTTCCAGCAGTGATCGCGAGCCCTTGCTCGATGGAAGACCAAATGGCGATATCGAGGGTAGCCCCTGTACAACAGTGAGAACTTGATACCAATCATGTGCCTTGTGGCCTGTGGTGTAACTTACAAAGGAAGTCGGGGTCTTTGATGCGCATCAAGAATCCAAACCGGACCAAGACCGCCGAGCTTGCACTGATGATGGTTAGCA